GGGGTCTACCACACTAGACAGGACCCGAGTTGCAGATTGTGCAAAGAAGCCTCAGAGACAGTCCAACACATAGTGGCAGGGGGTAAAATGCAGGCGGGGACAGCATACACTGAATAGCACAACCAAGTAGGTGGCAGTGGGTAAAGGAACAAATGCACAGAGTATGGGCTAGACCCTCCCAAGTCCAGATGGGAGATTCCACAGAAGGTCACGGAGAATACCAGAACTAAGATCCTGTGGGACATCCAGATCCAGACGGAGAGGCAGGTACTGGCCAATCAACCAAACATCGTGGTAGTAGACAAGGACCAGAAGACAGCAATGGTGATAGATGGAGCAGGCCCAAGTCACAACATCAGGAAGGAGTATGAGAAGGTGGAGAAGTACCAGGGCCTGAAAGAAGAACTAGAGAGGATGTGGAAAGTAAAGACTAAAGTGGTTCCAGTGGTGGTAGGAGCACTCAGGGCTGTGACTCCCAAGCTCAGAGAGTGGCTCCAACAGATCCCAGGAACAACATCAGAGCTCTCTGTCCAGAAGAGTAGTGCTAGAAACAGTTAAGATTCTGCGCGGAACCCTCAATCTCCCAGGCCTCTGGTAGAGGACCCAAGATTGAAGAAGACACATACCATCCATAGGGGTGAGAGGGGAATTTACACACAAACACACACACACAACCTGAAATAGCAGGAGGAAATATTTTATAAATAACTAATAAACTAGAATATGAATTTTGAATAGTATATTTTAATCTCATTTTCTCAATCTATGTTTTCATGGCAGACAATAATTACATTAACTGCAAGCTGATATTTATTTTATAAATATGCATATAAACTGGCTATTATGGAAATGTATTTTCTCTTCCTCCTTTTCTTTATATAAATTAATTGTAGCCTCTATACTTCAACAATTTAAAATCACTAAGAGATCATTTAGGGATAATATATAGGCATGATTTTTGAAACCCTTATCCTTACAGTTGTGCCATATAAATTTTCTTCTAAGTACCATGTGACTCTGCTCATTCCACAACTTTAGGCTGCAAATATGTTGTCATGACACATATCAATTTTGTATCTCTTTCAATAGCATAGCTATATTAGTTGTGTCATTTAGAAAGTGCGATACTATATGTAAATCCTTTATATGTATTAATGTGCTTTTCCTATTACTTTACTATTAAGGCCACAGCACATCCAATTCAGACAGTTAGCTGCAGTTAAGCAATCCCTTTCGGAATTTCCTGAAAAACTTGACTTGCATTAGCATTCATAGTGTGGAATCAAAACGCAGGACACAAGTGCAAAATAATCAAGGCTTCACTGCAGTGTTTAATAGGCAGTATGTACTGGAGGGGGGACCCCACCAAAGGTTAGTGGGAGACACTCCCCTGTAGGCAAAATGGATGCTTTGATATTTATACAGTTTTACAAGGGGAAGGGAAAAAGAATGCATATGCATACATATTAATATGATGCATAAATAAATATAAATAAATAAATCCTAAATAAGCGATACTTCTCAAGTTACTTTCTGCCCCTCTGTTATCTGCTATCTACAAGGAAAACAATAGCGTTACAGAGAAGAAGAAACAAATTAGTTGAAGATGCCAAATACCAGGAAGAAGGCATCCTCCCTCAAGACAGATGCCTAAGTTGCTATGGGGATGTTTGTGAT